GAGGCTCCTCCCTGTCTCCTCCCTTCCTCCTTTACACTAGCTTGGGGCGGGTCAGGGGTGGGGCTTCACACGACGGGGGCGGGGCTTCGGCCGGGAAAAAAATGCTCACCCTGAGCAAGAGGTACCGCATGTCACTGGTGTACAGGAGGCACACGGCCACAAGCAGACTCTGTTTAGAAATGACAATCTACAGACACATACTTCTAGAGAATTTCCGGCTTTTTATTCTTATTTCTCTTTTCTTCCCCAGTCTTCTGACAGTGGCCATTTTTTACTAAGGGCAGATTACTAGATCTCCTTTTACGTCCTGAAAATTGGTACATGTGACTAGACATGTGACCATGCACATCATCTCAGGGGAGGAAAATGCCTTTCCCTGAGGTAAGATTTCCCAGCAAAGCTCTGCTGATGTAACCTTCCCAGGATCTAATGCTTGGGCAAACTGAACTCATTTTTCCCTTTTAAAGCAGGAAGTGAATGCTCTGCAGGTGTTAATTTGTTAAAAATCACAACATTTTACACCTGGCATGTCTATGTAATTATTAATCATCATACATAGAGGGATGCAGTGGTAGAATTCGATTTTTGAGTGTAAAGGGCCGCTTTAATTTTTAAAGACCAGAATATCCGTTTAATAATAAGAAAAATAATAATATTTAAGGCAACAATCTTCAAAATAAAACAAACAGGGCCGTCCATAGAGGAGCTGGATGTTTTGAAGTACCGGTATTCAGAGCTGCAACAGCTGGCTAAGCAAGCTGGGCTTTAAGCTAATTTAAAGGCAGATCGATTAATCAAGGCTTTTAAAATGCATTTGCATGCAGTTGCCTTGCCATAGCAGATGAGTGAAGACACTCTCAGCGATAAAGATAAATCACAGAGCTGTGAGGTAAAGAAAGAACATATTTCTCCATGTCATGTCCCTTAAAGACATGGTCGGCATAATAAGGCAATCCAAAAGGAATCCATTCCTACAGTGAGGAGTCTGAGGGTAGATAAAGTTCTTCAAGTGCCCAAGTCTAAACAAATTCAGGAAAGTAACACTTACAAAGATGAACCTGGTAGGCCTGGCTCTGCAAGGAGGCAAAGGAAGCACCAGTGGAAAAAGATGTGATTTCCAAGAAAAATGAAAATGCACAGAACAGAAAACCTATCATCAGCTGCAAAAACACCAGGGCACACTGGTTGTTTATCTAAGACGGGATCTAAATCTTCAACACCAAATTTAAGAAAAAATTACATAAAGCCCAATTCAAGAAAATGGAGTTTATAGATAAATGTAGTGTTTATAGATAAATGCTGCGAGTAGTTACGTTTATTGAATCAAGATGATGGCCATAAAATCCAACATTTTGACACAAGCTGAGAAATTGTTAGAGTAAATTCTTCATCCCAGGTTCTGCACCACAAAAGGGGCTCAGTTTCCCTTCACAAATACCAGTCATTCAGACATGTTTCAGCACTCTCAGCAGGAGCATCCTGGCTAATAAATCTGCACTACATTGTGTGCTAATATAATGAATATTAGGTTTATAAGGGATAATGAGAATTAGCAAAACCTTCTAGAAAAACTATTTAAAACACCAGAGAGTGAAGCAAGAAAAAGCTTCCCAAAACATAAAATTGAACAAGTGTCTGATGCAAATAAAAGTTTTCCACTGTGTATGACTGACTTGGAGTCCAAAGCAAACAAAATCTTACTATACAAAAATGGGTCTGTTAAAAAAAAAATAATGTCAACTAATACTTCAAATTTACTGCACAACCTATAGCAAATCCAAACACCAAAATAAAGTTAACATTTGATCTCCAGGCCAGTTTGGCACAGCCACTTAGTTGTCAGCCCCGCAAAATAGGCATTGCATCGTGTACTGAGGACATCACAGGTAACAGATTAAACCTCATAATGATACAGAAGATGCTAACAAAGACTCATGTGTGAAGATAAACACCAGCCATGCATCAGTATATACATAACACCAAATATTGTCCAATAAAGATACAATGAAAAAACAAACAAAAAGGAAAACAAAGAATGTTGTAGCAATCTGCCAGGAACCTATTTGTTCCAAATAGCCAAACAACTTAACCAGTTGCCATTTTAGAAAATGATAACCTTCTCTGTTAAAAAGTGCTGTTCACAAATTTGAATTTCCTTTTCTGTATATGGCCAATCCTCCTCCTCCTCCTCCTCCTCAATATCTCACAAAAGATTTTCTCTTAGGCAAAGCAAGGAAAAAGCAAAAAAACAAAACTGTTTTACAGTAGAACTCCAGCCAAAATATTCTATTTTAATTTGGAAATAGCAGGGAAGTAAGAGAGATTACAGTCTGTTTATTGTGTTGCTATGTCCTTATCTGTTTTTTTTACTTCCTGTTCGGAAAGGAAATGTTGGGAAATTACTGCCTTACAACAAAATTTAACTTTAGTATAGTGAAGAAGTGAGGTAACTGAATGTGTTTATGTGTGTGTGCCTTCATGTCCTGGTGACAAGTGCACCACCTATTTCCCGTATGGGCTTCACAGATAGATGACCACAATGGGGTCACAGACAAAAAATGTAATTTCTCACTCTTACTCACTGTGGCAGGGGGCATAGACAGGGCCAGATTTACTCTCTCTGCTGCCCCAATGCCAGGTTCCTCAATGCAGGCTGCATACAAGTGATCTTGGCGACATCGCTGAGATCACTTGTATAAGACAAGCGGCGGCTTCCCCGCTGTACATTTAGCCCTGTTTGCCCAAAGCAGGGCTAAATGTAGACAACTACTGGCCTGGCGCCCGGAACTGCATGTCACAGGTGTCGGGAGATAAGAATTCCACACCCCTGCTGCTCCTCTACTCCCTACTCCCCCGAGGCCGGGCCTCGGTTGGCCTTGTGGGAAATCCGGCCCTGGGCACAGATCTAAAGGTGTTTTGGACTTTCCTCATTTCTTTTTCTCCTTTTTCTATGCTGGCCACCAAAACGTCTACCTTTTGTTTCTTCCTTCTTTTTGTCTTTCTTTACGCATCACAGGATAATTATGCTCCTAACTTTGACTGTTTTGATTTCTGATTCCAGCACTAATGAGGGTTAACCTGTGCTCAGCTGTCTGCCAATTAAGCAGTGGCAGATTATTATATAAAATGTATAATTTCCTTGAGTTTCTGTGTCAGTTATTAATTTTATATACACAGCATATCGGCGTGTATACCTATTGATGATATTGTGTATATTGTGTTACATTTTATTATGAGTTTATGTTATATGTTGTATTATGTATGTTTAATGACTAAGAAGCCTACGTATAAATGCTTCTCTCAAGATGTGGGAAGAGAACTAAGCCTTGGGTTGCGAACCTTTTGCAAAAATGTAATAAATGCACCCGTAATTAATAAAACCAAATTGTGCATTTATTAAATGTTTGCACTGAAGCCTGAAGAGCATTGTGGGTGCAACGCATAGGCTGCTGCATTGTTTACCCCCCAGGCTCCGTACGGACCTTCTGTTATGAGGCTGAAGAAAGTAGCCAATGGACTACAAGTGGGGTGATGTAACGCATTTGTGCTCCATTGAAATCTGTGAGTCCCTCTGCCATGGTGGCAGATGTAACTTATAGTCTTTCCATTTATAGATCCCTGTTAATGGATCTGTGAACAGATGATGCTCTGAATTCAAACCAAAACAGAAGGCTACACATCCAGCTCTAAGCAGCAGGTAGAGTATATATTACTCTCCCCACACTATTGCTTTAAAGGTGGACTAAGCATTTAAAGAGCCCCATCACTCCCACAATATAAAATATTAAATAAATGTCTTCAGTTAGGCTGTGCCATATACACAACAAAAACAAACTATATATTTTAACTGAGATATATGAAATAGATTTGTAATTCTGTGTAGTTGACATGTGATTTACACCAATATGTCATACTGCACAGCCACACAAGTTACATCTATTTCCTGATTCTGAAACACAACTCCCTATACCACTTCTGCCCTAGCCTGCTCACTAGACAATAAAAGGTATCATCTCCTTGATCGAGTTCACAGAGAGGTGATCAACACGCTATAAAGCTGAACCATATAGAAGCAGGAATGAATTTCCTGGTTCTGCAGTGTGGACAAGGTAAACATCAATTGGTAAGGTACTGTAAAGAGTAAATGTATGTGTATTTAGCCGTGTGCATTGAGTTACACTTATGTTGTGGTACCCACACTCCTAACCCCCACCCGTCGGTCTAAAGATAGCCATACACTTGGTTTTTTTCTATGGACACTCAAACAAAAAAATCCCATCAGAAGATTCGATAATGCCATCTGAGTTTTGTAGAATTTATGATTATAAGACTTGATTAAGGAAAATGAATGCAGTTTCTCGAAAACCACATTCATTGTTAGAAATTCGTTCATTCGTTAAAAAAAAAAATTCCATCCTGCTTCCTCATTGTTTTTGGTCACTATGGTCATTAACTATTCAAAGAAATCAAACAATGTCCCAAAACAATTTTTTAGAACAAAATGTATAACCTGTTTCATACCCAGTGAGATCACTAATGTGCAACTTTTTTCACGCTGCCAGCCACTTGCCAAAATCTTACTGGCTGGTGCATGTACACTGCGCCCTCCATTCAATGCTTTGGGGAGTGCATACTATATGCTCTGATGGACAATAGTACAGTTATACTTTAAAGTGTATCTTAACCTAAAATAAAAAACATAAGCATAGACATAGAAGGTGTGTTATTTGCAGTACCACCAGACAAAACTAATGCAGCCGACACATGTCAGGACTGGTAAGCTACAATATATTACTTTTGTGTTATGGGTTTGGATACCCTTTAAGCCTAAGCAAGCTACCGGAGTAAAATTACAATAACTTGCAATGAATCCCCTTACAAATTAATAATAATACAATTTTTTTTTAAAGTTTTTTTTTTGCTAAATACAGAAAATATTTTCAGTCCAAATGTTTTCCTTTTATAGGGAGGAGTCCACTCCACTTTCTACAATTACAAAAATGGCAGTTCTCAAAGTAAAATTCAGCAAGACACGAAGAGGAAAACTAGCTCAAGTTTTATGGATTCTAAACTGGGTGTCTGTTGTCACTGGACTAATTATCTTCAGTCTGGGGCTCTATCTGAAGATTGAAATCAAGAAACGGAGCGAGCTGATGATAAGTAAAGACCTTCAGACGGTCCCCAACATGCTCATTGCTGTGGGCACAATCGCTTGCGTCATCAATTTCTTTGGTGGAAAGATTTGCTATGATTGCTCGGATGCCAACAAATTCTCCAGGTGGAAGCTGTTCATGCTGCCCTATATCATCTGCACCTTCTTCTTTACGTTCTGCGTGTTTGCGGGAGCCATCATGTGTTATACTATGAGGAATGAGCTGGAATCTGCTCTGTACCGTGGACTCAAAGATGCCTTAAAATATTACAAGGACACAGATATCCCTGGTCGCTGCTTCCTAAAATCTACCATTGACATGCTACAGATTGAGTTCCAATGCTGTGGGAACAATGGATTCAGAGACTGGTTTGAGATCCAGTGGAGGTCTGCTCGTTATCTGGACATGAGCTCCAAGGAAGTCATTGAGTAAGTACATTGGTTTAAAAGAATTCAAACAGTATGCATATGCATTTGTCCATATGTTCACCATCCTCATCAAATTCACCCATATAGGTTCAGGCCTCAGATTCAGACATCATGGAGCTTTTAGATCTCCAGCCTACCCAAAGTCAGAACGCGTTTTCATCCTGTTGCTTTTTAGAAGTCCTGTAAAACTTTGTACATATGCAAGGTATGGTAATAAAACATGTTGGGACTAGAATGTGGGTATACATAACTACTAAGTTCCAAAAATCAGCAGCAGTTGAAAGATATCAGATTGTAATACCTAATATTAATTTAATGGCCATAGAAAATAGCAGCTATTATGGTAATATGAGCTGAGCCAAGGAGGTAGATGGCCATAATTCTCAATCGTAAGGCCCACAAAAAATTTAAAGAGTCAAAGCACTGCCTGGCTCCAGGTAGACAAGGACAGTAAGAACTTGGTAATATCTGAATGTGAACTCAGAACTTGTATTGGTGAATGATACAGAGGGTGAGTTGGGGAACTGCATTTTTAATGACAGCACATTTACCCTGTAAACAACCAAAAACCATTATGTAAACTAGGTACTAATAACAAGCAAATAGTAGATAGGAAGTCAGTAAATGCCACAAACATAGCTATCAAGGAAACCTTTAGGACAGGAATATACCATTGTTGGCATGATTTTAAAGTCGCAATCTCCATGGCTGAAATGCCTAATCCATGAACCACTCCTTTGTGAGTCACTGACCAAGAACTTTAAATAGTCAACATCTACTACTGGCTACATACCTGTTCCAGGCCAGTGACTCACTAAGTAATGGAGCAATGATCAAGATGACAGCCCCAGACCTTACTCCTTCAAAAGCAAGTCAGCAGCAATAGCCATTAGTAAATCTAAGGTTATTAAATGTTTTACTTTGTAGCGATTTTTGTTTTTATTGTTCAATTCATCTGCATTTGCCCATGAGCTGTGGAACAAATGTGCATAGCTGTTTAGCTGCATCTAAAGCCTCAACAATTGTTCTCCAAATATAAAATAGTAGCAAAGCTATGGAAATCAGTCCTACATATCCTTGGCATCAAGTTTACATCCAGAACCATTAATTGACATATAGCGTGAAATATAGAGGCATTTATTACATATAAATGCATGTTTTAGATGTGTTCTTGTCAGTGCAGACTATTGTTACACAAGTGTACATGATTGCCTTCTGTGTACTGCACAGTATTGGTGATACATTATAATTATAGTCATCATATTTCCATATCTTGCACTGACAAGCATGAACAAGCTACAGCAGACTGCTGTATGCAAATTTGATAAATGCCTTTGTGTTTGGATTTTAGGTGTGATATTAAGCAGCTGTTCTGTATGCTTAGTTGTTTAGAGAAACTATCTGGACCTAAAAATAACCTTGTGCTTACTCTAGCCATGCCAAAGCACAGCAATTTTTCCTTTAATGTCAGCCCATGCAGCAGCATATTCTCCCTTTCCCTTTATATACCCACCAAACATATGCCAGAATTACACCACCGCAGCGTGCTGGCCCAAGAGGAATACATTAATAAATAGTACCACTAACGAAGATTCTACTAAAATGAACACACCGAGCAGCTTATTACAATTAGTCAATTTATGATGACTCAATTTTACAAAAAAAATTATAATAAATACATATACATACTGTATCTCCTCCAACCAAAGGCAATAGATATGCATATATCAGCAAAGCATTACCCTATCCCATAAAACAATTTACAATAAACAAAAACAAATAATTATAAGATAACTTCTTAAATGTCATCATCAAAATGTAAATGATGTAGAGACCTGAACAAGCAATATCTATAAATACATGCATATGCAAAAATCCCAGGGTGTTTTAAGAAAACACCCCCTCAAAAATAGCGTACTACCACATATTGCATAAGGAAAATAACACATTAAAAATAATGAAATACATAGTGTTGCAACATACAGTAAATAGCAGAAATAATTTATGTAATGTAGCTCTAAAAAAACATATCCACATATACATACCATAAATATTGTATAGAGTGAAAAAGTGCACTATATCTAATGGGGTGCTAAATTATGTAGATACAAAACTAAGAGTGCCTAATCCAGGAAGAAAACCTGAAAAGAAAAAGAAAGGAAGGAAAGGGAAATGAAGGGTAGGGGGAATGGAAAAATAGGGACAAAAAATACAAAGAATGAAAGAAAAAGAAAAATAGGAAAAAACCCCAAAAACTGGACGCCAAGGAAATAAATGTGGAAGATGACTGTACCTATAATTAAACTAGTGTAAACCCCAAACCTTAGGGCCGTACCTTTAATGTGGCAGCCAGAGGCTGTCGCCTCAGGCTGCATCTCTTTGGGTCACGTGGGGGTATGGCAGGCAGAGTGGCACGTTTGTTGTATACTGGCTGCTCTGCTACAGGATGTTTGCAGTGTGCCTGTTTCCCCCTTTCCAGCCAGAGCGTCCCACGTTCCTAACAGCCGGGTGTGGAGATGTGTAAGAGCTCTACACATCTCCCCACCCAGCTCTTAACAACCTGGGACTCTCTGGCTGGTGAGGGGACGACAGGCACACCTGCCCCCACCCCCCAACCTGACCCAATGAGATGCCACCTCATTATAGGGATGGCACTCAACAAGGCCCACCAACCTACACAGCTGCCACAAGCAAAGAAAAATACCCAGTACTTCTGAGTATGGGGGAGCATGAGACAACTCTGATGCTTGGTGAATGGCCACTCGGACATCCAGTGCTGTCACATGAGGCCAGGAGGAAAGTCCTAAGTTCTGTTGAACTCCCAACTTAGAGCTTACATGGGGCGGCTTCTCCTCACTCTTGCTCCTGCTGCTGTGCTGAGCTCTGCATAGGCAAACCACAGGTTCACATGAAATGAGAAATAAATCCTGGAGAGAGTAGTAAAAGGAGAGGACTAGGGATGTTCAGATACAAGTTCAGATACCAGTGCCGATACTTGGCATTTTGACAAAAACTACCAGGGTTACAGCGGTCCCTGGCGCTCCACCACTGCCTGAAATCATTAGTCTGTATTGTTTTAGAAAAACTGTCACATGACACTAAGGAAAAATGTATCAGTAATTGAATCTCTGCGTACTTGGACAAGTATTAGTACTTGGTCTGTACAAAACGGTATTGGTACATCCCTAATAAATTATATATATAGATCTATACATAGATCTATATATAGATCTATGCATAGATCTATATATAGATACACATGTAGATCTATATATATATATACTGTATATAGATATATATATCTATATACACATATATATATATATATATATATAACAAATCACACATTAAAACAGGGATGCACAAATCCCAGGACCCCCGTATGTTCCTTAAAAATGACAGTGGCCTCCTAACTTTTGAATTTTTTTCTAGTCTAGTCTTTGAGCTGGTAAAGTATCTGTAGTTGTACTTGTACCAAGTACAGTACTTGGTATCTGAATATCCCTAGAGAGGATACTTACCTGCTTTGTATGTGTCTCTGCCTTGTCATCTTCCACAGCAAGGTGTTGCTTCCTTCATACAGAAAACGCTGCACAATTAGGTTGGTGGCAAGAAGGCGATAGCTCTCTCATCCAGCTGGTGAGGAAACACCACATGCAAGCAAGTGCATGTTTCACCTTCCCACTTTGTTCTCTAAAGCAATTCTGACCGCCGACTTCTCATTAACAAAATTGTTACTGTGTCATTGACCATGAAGGTGGATATACACAGAAAAGGTAACACACCTGCTATTTATTAGGTATCATTAGGTTTCCTATAATGTGAGCTGGGTGTCCTGTGTTGGGTTTATTTGTGGAGTTTGACTTAATTAGACTATTTATCAGGATTATGATCCTCACCTTCTGCCCTGCTCACCTTCTGTCTGACCTTGGCTTGAGAAATCTGTCTGTTTTCTATTTCCCGACTTGGCACAGCATCTTGATCCAGACCATGTCTACAGTTATCTCCCTGATAGCTTTCCCATTACGTCATTCGGATTACATACACCAGGGCATAAGCCAGTAGGCATATCATGCCTTAAGGAACTCTGCTAAGTGTATTAAATAGTCACATAGTATAACCCCATCAAGATTTTAGGACAAATCCTTTTAGTATAAAAAAAAATGCATTGGATCTTTATACTAACTTGTATGGCCCAATTGATGACTCCGCAACACAGCTATAAATAAAACCAGGGTCTAGGGAAATCACTTCAGAAGCCATTGATGTTTAGGTCATAACTGTAGGTCTGAAACAGCAAAGGGTCGGATGCAGTGAGACCATTGGACTTACACAAAGTGCAGCACTCCTTCTCGTCAGCATAATCCAAGTAAAGGTCTTTTTAGCTGGGCCTGGGAGGGTGATTAACAAAATTAATTTTTATTAATTATAGTATTGGAGCTGAGACTTCAATTGGAGTTTAAGTACATGCAAAAAAATGTAAACACTGCTTTTCCTCACCATGTCATCGCTGACCAGTTCTGCTTCCATAATTACACCTTCTGCAACGTAAGTTTCACTATTGGTTAGTATGAGCAGGGCAGCCATCAGGGGGGTACGGCAGATAATCATGTAAGGGGCCCGGGCATCCCCCCAGGATCAAATGGTACCGGGCCGCACAGTTTCAGTGCGGTCCGGTCCTGCAATATGGGGCAGTGCAGGGTCCCGGTGTTCGAACACCGGGGCCCCGCACTGCCGGCGGGCTACACAGTGAGGGGGCGGGTCCTGTGACTCACCTCCCCTCCCGGCCACGTCCATAGTAACAGGAGGCGGGAGGCGAGGTGAGTCACAGGAGGCGTGTGTGTGTCACACGTCCCGCCCCCTGCAGTGCACACATCAAAACTCCCTGGCTGGGTAAGTCCAAGTGCCAGCGCGGGGGGGGTTGGGGGTGGAAGGGGGCGAATTGTAGTTTTTTTTATTGTCTCGTTTAGGAACCTATAAGTGATGTATCTCTGTAATAAAAACATATGTAATCTCCATGAAACGGGGGCCCCGGCCTAAAGCCGTGTAAGGGGCCCTAAAATTTCTGATGGCTGCCCTGAGTATGAGTTTATGAGGGGGCCAGCACAGACACACTGAGTTTGTCGGGTCCTGGGTTTACATATTAGCTGTTCTTTCACTCCAATGAAAGTAGATATAGAAAGTAAACCTGTCGCTAACCTGGTAACTGGTCATGTGATAAATAAGTGCACAAGCTGAAGTTACGTTTAGTAAAAACACATGTCTTTGTGATAAGTAGATCCAGAAATACTGTATATGTGCTGCCAAGTCATATGCAAATCTCAGCCTTGTAGCCCATTCACACCTGTCCTTTTTCATGTCGCAAACTCATGAATTACGCTGCCCCATTACAGGTACCTATTCCACGTTTCGAAAGTTTTAGGAACCATAGATCAGACATACTTATTAATTTAGATATATCTATTTAACAACACAACTGAGTACCCCAGTACCATACCTCCCCACCCCTTTCTTTACTCGCTCTCAACCCCTGCACCCTAAACTTTCTTAGTTACCATTTAGCTTTCAACAGGGACACTACTAAATACTATTTCCTACAGCGAAGAAGCAAAGCCCATAGCCAGAACACAACCTTTTATTTGACTTACTTAGTAACAACATTCAGAACAACAACAATATGGCCCCCCTTACAAATACTTCCTCCTTATTGGTTGTGCTCTCATAGAAAACCACACACACCTTAACATAGGTAACATCTTAAACTCCCTGGCAGTCTGATTATTTCCTTTTTTTTTTCATCTTTTGTTTCTATTGTTTTCTCGTTTTTTTACTTTTAAATACCGCCGGTTCTGCCCCCTGCGACGCGGACTCTCGCAAGGGACGGAACCCGTAAGACGGATGCCCGCATCTGCCGGAGGACACAGCGGGGATCGTGGACAAGGTAACGTGCTGTGTAATCCTGAGTGTCGCTCGGGGTTACAGCTTTTGGTAATGAAAATTAACCACACTCCGGATTACCGCCAGGGAGGTTACAGTAGAACTATGGCCTCTTCAAAAATAAAAAGTGCTGCAGCACTTAATTATATGCACATCTGCACTTTTAGTTTTCTTAGTCCACTAACACAGCTTTCCTGTGATGGTGTGGCAAGTATGCTGCACTGCTTCTGAATTCAGGGTTTCCACTCTCATGTAGGCTGTGCTTGTTTGCACAGTAGTGGAATGAAAAACTATTGCAGGTGTGGGACCACCAATATTGTGATTGCTGATTCATAAGTCTGTATCTTGTCAGTCAGGACCTGGCCATACCTAGTCCTGTCCAATGCTTTATGATAGGCAGCACTGTCTCTGTTGCTGAAACCCTCCCAATGTGAGCTGCAGTGTCTGGGAGGAGGTGCATGGAAGACACAAATTAAGAAAGATATGTCTTAGTCAGGGAAGGTAAAGGAACTTTTTTTGTTAAATGTATGTTACTTGCTTACTTAGATAGTAATTAAATTTGCTGCTTTTTTTAGACTGTCATTGGATTCCTTTAGGCGTACTATAACTATAGTCAGTGCATAATGGACACTCTGAATAAATGCTTGTTTTTTTTTACTGTAGATATGCAAGAATCTACTTGATGGCTCTGTTACCTGTATGTAGAAACAGAAAATGCATTTCAAGTATAAATCCCATTATTTCCTATAGAACTGGTTCACATCTATGCACTGCAGTTTAGTGTTAAATGGAAAGGGAAACTATATGGGCCTTTTCACACCTACAGTATGCATGTGTGATTCCACACACAGTGCAACACACAAGGAACAGTGTGAATCCAGCCTTACAAGGAGGAATGCCATTCTTTCCTGTGTTGCTGGTTCAGATCTATGCACAGCAGTATTGTGTATTTTGAAAGGAAATCTGCATGGGACTATCCATACCTACACATGTAGGTTACCACATGCAGTGCAATGCACACAAAACAGTGTGAATCAAGTCTAAATGATGAGCCTCATTAATGGTCAATGACACTGTCCATGACATTGAAGAACTAAAAATGAAACAGGAAGGGGTGGGGCTTCCTGAAACACTGAACATAGAAAATTTGCCAGTAAATCTATAAGTTACTTATCTGTATTTGATCTACAACCACGGACAACTAACAGGTAAAAATGTAAAAACCCCCAAAAAAGTGTAGACTAAAAATTTGTTTGTTACTAAAACTGTATTGTGATGTCCAAAGAATCAGTGAATTAGTTTACCAATGGTATATTTATTATAATGTGTGACCAATTTTCTTTTTGCAGTCGTTTTAAAAGCAATGTGGATGGAAAATATTTACTAGATGGAGTTCCTTTTAGCTGTTGCAACCCCAATTCCCCTCGTCCCTGCATCCAGTATCAGATCACCAACAATTCTGCTCACTACAACTATGACTACCTGGCAGAAGAGCTGAACATCTGGCTCCGTGGCTGCAGGGAGGCTCTACTGGACTACTACGATCAACTCATGCAGACTATTGGTCTTACTGTCCTCATTGTATGGCTCTTTGAAGTAAGTCTGCTCTGCCATCTTAAACAGATTCCACTTTTATTTCTGTGTGAACTAGAAAAGAGAGGAATTTAAACTTGTGTATAAATAATATCTAAAGTGAATTACTGTATCATTTATTTTTCCACCCTGGTCTTATTTGTAGACATGTGCACTGCCAATAAATTCATTTAGTTTCGTTTCGTTTTAAATTCGGATTTGTGTTATTTGGTTTTTCGGGATTCGGGTGTGAAAGTCAATTCGGATTCGGAATTCGGATTCGGATGAAATTCGGTAGCGGTAGTTCGAACATTCGTTTCATTTTCGGTTCTTATTCGTTTCCTTCGTTCGTTTGCAGCAAAGTGACATTTTAGGGGGAATTTTTTTTTCTCCTTCTCTAATGTCACTTTGCTCCAACGAACGAAACGAATAAGAAACGAATAAGAACCGAAAACGAAACGAACGTTCGAACTACCGCTACCGAATTTCCGAAATGGAAATTCGGATTCGTTTGCATTCGTTATGTCTGTAATTCGGAATTCGGATACATCCGAATGTCCGAATTTCCGAAAATTCGTCCGAATTTCGATTCGGAACGAAACGAATCGCACATGTCTACTTATTTGCATTTATTGAAAACGATTCCCACGAGTACCTGAATAAGTCCCACACATAGTAGGGTTTCTTCATTTGAAATCAATTTCTGCTTATATAAACTATAATATCTAACAGTATATATTAAAGTTTTGGATAGAGTAGGTAAGGATACATTTTATAGCTGTCTGTGTCCACACTAGGTAGATTCATCTTCTCAGTTTGTCTTGGTGACCACTATCACCCAGAAAGAAAGCATTGGAAAATCCAACAATCTAGAGTTGTTATCGGAAAAAAAGGTATGATTAAAGGAGCACTATGAGGTGAGTGAAAATCACTCATCCTCATAGTTCGAGCCGACATGTGACAATTAAACTGTCACACGTCGACTCAATAGATCGGGAAGTGAGCGAACGCATACTGTCGCTCGCCCATTTCTCGATCATCTCACTGCAGAGAGCTGTGACTGTCAGTCACCGCTCCCCACAGGGATTCCCCCCTCTGATCTTTCAGTGCTGACTGGAGGTACGGACGGGGGAGAGGGGCGGGTACAGCTGGCTCTGCCCCTAGATAGGCTGAGCCAGCTGTCACTCACGCAGCTGGGTGGCACTCAACAGCATTGTCAGGATCCGTCCCGGCTGCGGCTGTCTCAGTATACCGTGAGTTGTAGGTCGTGATATACTGAGCTTTGGGTCAGGGGAGGACACTAGTATATGTGCTCCCATGACCATTAAGAGAACTATGGGGAAAAACACTTACCCCATAGTTCTCTTTTAAATATTCCAATAGGGACATATGTTACAGTGACAGCTAAGAGAATAGTTCCTTCCATTTCTATAATATCTCCTCACTTCCTGCTGTGTCCCAAAGGGAAAGGAAATCTTTTTACCAGGACAGAGACACTGTCACTGTGTGCTTTGACCATGTTCCTTGTTCTGTGCAAAGACTTGAGCTCTGTATGCCTTAAATGGTTTTAACACCAAAATCAAAAAGGATCGTTTGATGTTGTAGTACAGATGTAAGAATAACAATGGTGGTACATTGCACCCATTGAACCACTGCAGATTTAAAGTTTTAATGATGCCTACAAACACAGTGTGATGACATGGTGATCAGTTTATAAGTTAAATGTGTATTGGTGTTGGGTTATGTTTGAGTGCGTTATGCTGTGTGACCTGGTTATGGAAAGAGTATTAGCACCATCCCTCGTTATCTCCCATTGTTCTCTGAGGGAGCTCAGAACAATGACATTCTGGCCAGGCTGTCTGGAGTTCGTTAGCAGGTGGACACCTGTGGTGTTGAGCAGACCGATGGTCTGGGAGGGGAGGGGGATGTGATGGGATTATATTCTGATCTGATCACTTGCTGTATATAAGTTTGTGCAGTTGCTCAATAAAGCAGAGTTTGTTTACCCTACACTCGAGCCTTGGCTAGTGACTGGGGAAACTGGGAGCTACAGATCTTCAGGTTTCAATATCTCCTCAGCAAGGAAGAAGACAGCGGCGGACATACTCATCCTGAGTACGGGGGTCCGTCACACACAGGATTAATTTTGTTTGGCCTGACCGGGCAAAAAAAAAACCTAGATTGGATTGAACTAGGTTAGATTATCCAAAGTGATTTCCATGAAGACTGACCAGCAATGATAGTGACTAAGTGTTCCTTTTCCCAGCTCCATAGGCACAGACATGTACTGTATGTTTAGCCAATTCAGACATGCATGTTTGTTGGACGATCCTTTGTACCAAAGTATTTTGTTATTGAGTACGAGCACTGAAATTAACATTTCGGTAATCACTGATACCAAGTACTGATACCAGTACTTCTGCTAGCATGGTACCGGCGTCCTGGCCAATCAGGAAGCCATGCACCGGAAGCCAGATCCATGCCGAATAGCATGGATCTGGCTTCCGGGGCAATCAAGAAGCGAGGCGGTGGGTAATGAAACGGTGCCCAGCTTCCTGATTCCCCTTGATACCATGACATCATGATAATATCACATTTTGTGGACTCTGTATGGTCTTTGGATAAGTAATCAATATTGTTGGTATCTTTATAAGGGAGGTCTTGATTATATGCCACAATATGAAGGAAGGATCACAGTTTTAAGTGTTTTATTATGCACAAACTTTCTTTTATATTTTTGTATAAAATAAAGATGTAATCTTAACCTACTTCTGTGCTAGGTCAGTGGTGTTTTTGATACCTGAAAAGCCCTTATCTTTGCCGCATTATTAAACATTTCCTCTATGGGTGTGCTATCGCTTTTGCTCCATTATTATTCCCAAATTCTACATAAAGGGTTTACAGTAGTTTAATTTTGCATGTGGAAATATTTAGAAAGGTTGCATCATGACTGTGAACTGCAGTATTTTCAATGTATATATTTGGCAATATCCAAATAATGTTTACATGCTACTGCTGTAATATACAGATTGTATTACCACCAATATACTTGATTTATGTTTTTACATTAGTATTAGCAACCATACAATGGCCGTTCACTCTTTTTGTTTCCTACAGCTCTCAGTGCTCACTGGTGTACGGTACCTTCAGACTGCCATGGAAAATGTGCTGGTATTAGGAGACCCTGAAAGTGAATCCCACGGATGGCTACTGGAGAACAGCTGTATGGAAACTGCTAAACACAATTTTGAAATCATCAAAAATCTGGGTAAAGTCAACCAGATCTCCAGCCTTTCGGGGAAATCTGATCCAAATGTGGATATACCAAGAGCAGATTATGGCCCAGATAATGTTCCACCAGACTCCATCCCCACAGTTAGCTGACCACAGCATGGGTAATGCTAACTACAGCCAACAAGACTGATTACATTTTGCATTGCAAAAGCTGTTTTATGACGTTGTAAGGAAGTGTGTGTATTTGGCTGGAAAACATTTACAAAAGAACTAAATTAATGCACTTGGATTGGATGCACCTCTTGAAGCAACAGCAATAAGACTGATGTATTTAAGTAATACATTGAGATGGTTGTTGGATGAGGTTAGAATTAATGTGTAGGGGAACTCTGTGATACTAGAGTCACATGAAATGAATGTAAATTTTACATGGAGTTAATAAAAAACAAATGTGAATCACGTAATGAAAATGTATAGAATATGTACGTTTTCTATGACTGATATGTTAGAATTGCAAGTCTATGGGGCTCATCTTTCTGCATCTCCTGGCTGGGAGATGGAGGTAGACGAACCCCATAGAAGTCTATGGGGCACTACTGTGCAGGTGCGGCCAGCAGAGAGAGGACTTCAACGCAGGATGTAAACAATCATGTGAGGCCACAGGCATCAGATCTCAGTAAGTATTCACTTGTGAAGTGGGGGCATATGTT